TCCCAGTAGTCCATTTTAATCTCTTGATTTTGCCACACAGAACTCACTACCCAGAAAAAGCATGCAAATTAAACAAAACTGAATGATGATCCAGATGGAGAAAGAAACAGTTCAGTTGATGCAGCCCTAATGAAAGTACTCAGATCTGGTCTGGCTGAATATATGTTGATGTAGCATCCTCTAACTTTTCTGATTCCTTATTAAAATTCATTTTTAAGCTTAGCACCAGTGACTCACACTTGCAATTCTAGCTACTCAGGATGCTGAGATCTGAAGATTGAGATTCTAAGCAAGCCTGGGCAGGAAAGTGTATGAGACTCATCTCCAGTTAACTACAAAAAAAAGTCAGATGTGGAACTATGGCTGAAGTGGTAGAGTGCTAGGCTTGAGCAAAAAAGCTCAAAGACAGTGCACGCAGGCCCCGAGTTCAAACCCCAGGACAAGCAAAAATATTTTGCTGATCCTGAGGCTTGAAATTGGGGCCTGGGCTCTGTCCCTGAGCTTCTTTGTGCTCAAGGCTAGCACTCTACCACTTGAGCCACAGTGCCATTAACAACATTTTCTGAGTAGTTTATTAGAGATAAGAGTCTCACAGACTTTCCTGCCCGGGCTGGAACTGAACCATGATCCTCAGATCTTAGCCTCCTAAGTAGCAAGTGTTACAGGTGTGAGCTACCGGCAGTTGGCTTTTAAATACATTTTTAAAAACCATAAATAACCAGTGTGAAAAGGGGGGAAAGGGGGTATGTAGTTGTGAAGATAGGAGGGAAGGGAAAAACAAAGGAGGACGCAACAATGCTTGATAAGAAATGTATTCATTACCTTGGTCATGTGATTGTAAACCCTCTGTACAGTCTTTTCACAATAAAAAACTTATTTAAGGGGCTGGGAAGGTGACTCAGTGGTAGAGCGCTTGCGTTGCATGCCTGAGGCCCTGGGTTCGATTCCTCAGCACCACATAAGCAAAAAGAAAAAAAGCCGGAAGTGGCGCTGTGGCTCAAGTGGTAGAGCGCTGGCCTTGAGCTGAAGAGCTGAGGGACAGTGCCCAGGCCCAGAGTTCAGGCCCATAACCGGACCCCAAAAAAACAAAAACTTATTTTAAAAAAAGAAGAAAAAGTAACCAGTGTGATAACTTTGAGAAACAACATGGCTTAGTAAGACACTGGATTGAGGGAGCAGGTCAAGAGATCTAGAGTCCAGACCTGGCTCTGTGCAACCACAGCAGGATTCATCACCTCATCACCTCTCACTTTGCTTGCACTATCTCTAGGTTATGATTTGTTTATCTTGAATGTTTATTCTTTTCTAGCTCCAACCTTCTTCAGCATTCAGAGGTTTCTCTCTCAGTTGAAACTGATGTCAGTGCAGTAGCTTTTGCTAGAGCATGTTGTGGCACTTCAACCTATTCCTCCTCCTCCTCCAAGTCATCTTTAACAAGCCCTCTGTTTCTGCCTTCAGGTTACAATTGCCCAGCCACTGAAGGGATATTTGAATTTGCTGCAGCAGTAGGAGGGGCTACAATCACAGCTGCCCAGTGCCTGATTGATGGGATATGTAAAGTAGCAATTAACTGGGCCGGAGGGTGGCATCATGCAAAGAAGTAAGTAAGGAAATGCTCTTCCTGATTTCTGATGGTTTTCTTGACTCAATTACTTAGTTATACAAACTCCTCTGCTTATCATATTGACGTTTTTTGAGAGACATGTGTGTATCTAGCACTTCTTAAGGTGTTCTGAAGAGATGCATGTGAAATAGGAAGATAACCTAATGTGGTAAAAATGAAAAGCACACTATTGAGAATCAGGACACAAGACCTCTATGCCTAGTTCATTTGTTAACTTGGCTGACTTGGACAGGTTGACCCACAAGGGCCCTCAGTTTCTTCAGCAAAAGGGGTAGGGCAAAGGATGTAATTAGTCTATAAATTCCTTTTCAGTTTGTTGGAAATTCCCTGTTTTCATGGGATTTATGCCCTAGAAACATTAACAAAATTAGAATAGTTAGAGAAAAGCTTGAATTATGGTACCAATGAAATAGATATATGAACTAAGCAGTTGGGAGAAATTAATGGAGGGAGTCTTAGCAGGGTTCATTTTATTCGTTTATTTTTGTGCCAGTACTGGGGCTTCAGAGCCTTGTATTCTCACTTGGCTGTTTTGCTCAAGGCTAGTGCTCTACCACTTGAGCCACAGCTCCACTTCTGGCTTTTTGGTGGTTAACTGGAGATGAGAGTCTCACAGACTTTCCTACTCAGGCTGGCTTGGATCCTTGATCCTCAGATCTCAGCCTCCTGAGTAGCTAGGATTACAGGTGTGAGCCACCAGTGCCCAGCAGAGAGGTGCGTTTTAGAGCTAATTCTTGCTAGAAATGGCAGACAGATTTTTTATAAAGTGGTAAATTGGAAAGAATAGATTTTGAACAAATTGTCAGAGAATCAAGAAGGAGGCTTATGCTACTGTCTCCCAGGGAAGTGGCAACACCGAGTTAGATGTCTGTCTAAAGAGAAAAGGCATGTGTAACAGCTTTCTTTGGTGCTACTTGGCGTTGCAGAGAAAGTCTTTTTGGAGTTTTGTGTTCACATGTTGAACACTCTACCCTGGTGAGAACTGCTGGATCTTTTTCAACAATGGCATGCCATTTAGTATGTCATACGTACCTATTGCATGTTGTGGGTAACAGATTTAAAAAACTAAATTTGTATGCTGAGTGAAAGGAAACAGCTGTGCAAATAACCGCCAGGCCATCGTTGACTGATTAATTTTCCTGCTGCCGGTTTACTCAGGTGCTTTTGAGTCCAAACAGCACTTTGTGTTTGGGGAGTTTTTTGTTTTGTTTTTAAATAAAAAACAACAACATTTTAGCATATACTGGTTCAGATAATAGAATGCTATTATTTTTATCCATTTGGCAGATTTCTTAACAAAGAAAGTCCTTGAGAAACCTCACTAGGTGATAGAGAACTGATCCTTTAGTAGTGAGTTTTACACAGTCTTAAAAACAGCCTTCTTTTGTTAGTGTTTGCTTTATTTTTAAGATAAAAACAAAGAGAATAAACCCTGGGGGAAGAGAATGATTTCTCTCCCTAAATCTGAAGAATGAAAAGAGAATCTAAGACTTGTATATTCTCTTAGGTTTAGCAGGTAGAGAAGAAAAAATAACATGCTTCATAGAAAATCGCTGCTCCTAAATCCTGATCTAGCTTCTTATGTGTTTAAAAACACTGCAGAAGACCTACTGGGACCTACATAAATTTCCAGTGGAGTTACACAGACACTGCCTACGTGTGTGTGTGTGTGTGTGTGTGTGTGTGTACATGTGCATGTGCCAGTTCCAGAACTGGGGTGGGACCTACATAAATTTCCAGTGGAGTTACACAGACACTACCTACGTGTGTGTGTGTGTGTGTGTGTGTGTGTGTGTGTGTACATGCATGTGCCTACATAAATTTCCAGTGGAGTTACACAGACACTACCTACGTGTGTGTGTGTGTGTGTGTGTGTGTGTGTGTGTGTACATGCATGTGCCAGTTCCAGAACTGGGGCTTGAACTCAGGGCCTGGACACTGTCCCTGAGCACTCTACCATTCACATAACAGCTCTACCTTTTTTTTTTTAATTGTGAAAATACTGTACAGAGGGGTTACAATTACATGAACAAGGTAATGGGTACATTTCTTTTTTTTTTTTGCGTCCGGTCATGGGGCCTGAACTCTGGGCCTGGGCGCTGTCCCTCAGCTCTTCAGCTCAAGGCAAGCGCTCTACCACTTGAGCCACAGG